CTCGCCCCTCATTTGAAAGTACGTGGTCGTGGACTTCACCGATGCCGAGTTCTGGATTCCTGTCAATTATATATTTCTTTTTCCTCAACACTGCAGAAAGAGGTTCTAGTACTAAAGTGGCTGGGTGAATATTTAAATTGGGCTGTGGGAAAACGCAACAGAGTGAGACTATTTAAATGACACTGTGAGAACTTCCTCACGGATATGCCTAAGTGATAAACTGGTGGAACTATTGTGCCTGTAGATGTGAAAGGGTAATTTAGTTTTCATGGTCAGAAAAACATGATCTATGACTTGTGATGGTATTTCTACAATGAGCACACCTCACACTAGCAAGAGTCTGAAAAGTTGCCAGTTTTAAATGATAAACTAGAATTAAATGAAAGCTCACCACTCCTTGGTATCCTTTATATTCTTTGAATACCTTGTAGAGAGCAATCTGGGCCCAACCCAGCAAAAAAAATGCCCAAATGTGAGCAAAAAGATACATCAAGGGAGCTGCACTGCTCATGTACTTGAATTTACACAACTGCTGCATTAGTTCCAACAGCGCTGGAGGATTATTTTCTCTTTAAGGTAAAGAGCCAGCTAAATTTTAATGTTGTTACTATTACCCATGTTGTCACCTTTTACTGCATGTTTCTGTCCAAGCATCTGAGAAGCTACAGCGCCATTCTGCATGCAAATAACATCAATCTAATAAATTAATTGCATTCTTGGGGGAGGGGGAATAAAACCTTCACAAATTTTAAGATAAAAACTACCTAAAATATGACATTTTTTTGTCCCTTTTCATCCTCCAGAGGGGAGAACTAAATTAAAAACAAACCCTCTGTTCAAGTCAGGTCATGATGACACACAGCAGTACAAACCAATAAATCCAGCAATGCTGACAATCCAGCCTGGCAGCGCACACACAGGCTTTTGAGCCGTGGAAAGCTGGGGGAGGGCTTTGGATTTGGGCTCAGTGGCTGCAAGCTGACTTACCGGAAGAGAAGAAAGGTCAGCGTGCCACAAACAGAGCGTCAGGCAAGAAACGTGTACTTGGAGTTGAGCCGCAGCACGGGCAGGGGTGCAGCCCCATCCCCTCCTGCTCTGGGGATAAGCCAACCTTGGGTTTGCACAGGTAGGAGAGTATGAGGAGGGAGGATCCCTACAGATAGTACTGGGCATGTTACTGACATGTCACTGATAACTGAAATTAATATTTGGGTTTAGGCAGGAACACAGGAAAGCAGACGACCTTCCCAATAAAGGTAATTGAGAGAGACATACTACTGTAAGGAGGTAAAAAAAAAAAAAAAAAGGAGTAAGGAATTAATGAAGCACTGACTGGTCAGAAAATACAAACTGAACACTCAGCTTCTCTACCATAGGTCCAACACCAGAAAACCTAACTGCAGTGCAGCTGAAGGAACAGCTGGAGTTCAAAAATACCCAAACTTCACTTTATTATGCACACATATAACCAATTGCTTCCAAAGCACCGTGAAGCCAATTCGAAGTTTCTCAGACTACATCTCCCTCCATCACAGGTGAGCTGTTGGCAAACCCACATTCCTCCTTCCCCAAAGACAGGCCAAAACTGTTGATCCAGCTCAGACCTTTGAAAACATAAGCCAAGTGTTTGACCTTCTGTGTTTCTTCAAGCACAGCAGGTACAAGCTTGCCGAGGCTGGAGGCCTCCTCTGCATCGTCACAGCTTTCCCAAAAGAGCCAGGCTGCCGCAGCCGGGCACTTCAACCTCCAAAACAGGCTTTAAAAACTGTAAATGAGATGCCTCTTCAAGGCTGAATAATGACATCAGAGCTCAAAGAAAGCAGCTCACTTTACTGTCATTTGCCCTGCGGAAGCACCAGCAGAAAGCAATGCTAAAGGCCTTGGGATAAAAATACCTACAGAGGCTCAATTTGAGGCATCGCTTGCATTATTTAGATGAGGAGGAACTGTTTGCAGGAGCTCAGACAAAAAGTTACGTCTGCAATCTGCAAAAGACAGCAAGCTTTCTAACTGCAACAGGTCTCATACCTTTAAAGTGTAGTCAGGCACACCATAAATGTAGGAAAACAAAACCATCCATCTGCAAAAACCGCTTCTTACTAGTGTGCAAAATGCAACACAAGAAGATCCAGCGTTGTCGTGCCATGTTCAGTATATTGAGAAGCACCTACAAGATGGGGGTTTTAGGCTTATTTGTAAAGCTCAGGTCAAAAAAAACCTTAAATCTTTAAACAAACATTAATATAAAAAAATACAAACAACTAAAAAGCCTTGTGCTCTCTAAAAAAGCTCAGAGAAGAAAACAGTTTGTTGATGGATCTCTGGACATTTGACGCAGTGTTGAAAAGTCACAGTACAGAGGGTTTTGGGAGGGAAGAAAGCAATCCTGTCTTCTGCTCAATGTGCACGGTGTCTGAGTAATCCAGAGCAAACTACAGAGACTAAAGGTAATTTCATAAAAATTAAAATACTTCTTTTTGCATTTCAGACCATCACCTAATGGACACGGGACTTTCAAATTCCTACAGCAGCTACATTTATCCAAACTCGTTCTGTCTCTGTGCATTTACCATGACCATGAAGTTCCGAGAATTCTTTTCTGTGAGTTAGAGATCTTTAAGGAATACAATTCAAAAATGAATTTAACCTTTGTTGTTTATTCCCGAAAGACATCTTTTCTTCCTTTTGGATTATGCCTTTGAGATAAAGATAGAGCATTTCAGACTAATCTGCCATATCTACGGGACACGGTGACACGGCAGCCACTTGGAACAGATTTGGGGGACTGAGTAAAAGGCAGATGTAGGCTGAATCGGAAAATTCCAAAGGCAAACGTACTGCCTCTCTGTTTTTCTCATTTCAGAATTAGGGCGCTGAGAAATAATTTTTAGTGTGGGAAGTTTCCATTAACAGTTTAATCTAACTGATAACTTAGAGAGTCTGTTTATTCAATGGTAAAACATATGGCAATACTTAAATTCCCAAAGAATGCATGAAAATACTGTTGTGAGACAGAAGTGGAACGGCTGAAGGGGATTTTTTTCAATAAGCTCCACAATTACTGAAGGCAAATATAAAGAAAAATAAAGAAAACAAAAGTGTGTAGAAATAAAGCATTTTGTGTTATTTATTAAAACACAATTGCTTAAGGATCACAATTAAAAGTCAGATTGTATGAATATGAATATGAATATGAATATGAATATGAATATGAAAGAAGTTGCTTGTCCCTGGGCAGTTAGAAATGACAAACCCGGCCAATGAACACAAGTCTGCTTGTACCATGTTACCCACAGCTGATTCTTTGCGCCGACGTCAGTGGGTTTTGTACTACTACATGGGAATCTCAAAAATGTTTTTATCTTCTGTTGTAATGTAGCTTCTTCTACCTTTAGCTGTTAGTTGTCCGCATTTTTTTTCAAGAGTCAGGATATAATTTTCATGAGCAAATAACATGGTTTATACTTTTAACGAGGGGTACCCTGATTTCCTGGGGGATACTGAACTGACTTTCCCAGGGAACTTCGCTCACACGACCAGGACACGTCGATACAGATCCAGTGACACACCACGAGCAGTGTCCTGTCACTCGGCAGATGTACCCGACACGTCATGGGGAAGAGCAAAAAGCCTGTGACCAGCGAGTACCAAAGTAAGACTTGCCATTTCCTACATTTTTAGAAAATCTGAGTATCATTTCTAGTGACTGGGAAAATTTGTCTTGCATTAATAGACTCATAAACTCTTCTCGGGCTTTTTCCATTTCTCCATTGTTTGAATGTGACAACAATTTGCTGCCTTAAATGCATGAGTTGCTTCATATCCATATCAAAGGAATAAACACCACCATATTATAATTTTTCAGTTAAATACTCATTTGCATGATAAAACTAAACATTCTTCTGAATGTGTAATTTAGTCCAATTCCTCTTTTACAGTTACCCCAATTATAAAGGCATGCCTTTAAATTATAAAACATGTAGCTCCACTAAACAGTGATGAAATGAGCCTGATGTGTACCAAAACGTTTTTAGTCATATTTTCCATTTATTTTTGCATTTAATCTGCCTATAATTTGATGTTAATGGCTGTCTGAGCATTCAGCAATGGCATACAAAACATTAAGATTATTAAGAGCTGTAGTCAGTGAAAACATCTCTATTTAAAGCTTCTGAAATACAGAATTTTGAAGTTGATGAAGTAAGACAGCCAAGTGATTTAGCTTTAAAAAGTGCCAAACTTTTGAGGAAAATAACAAAAACAAAATCTGAGTGGGTGTGCATACACATTACTTCTGGTGTAATACATGCAGAAATTTTCCTAAGCTTTCCCATTTTTGAAGGAGAGCTCCACTGAATGGTGCAGAAAACAGGAGGCTGAGCTCAAAGTTTCAATGCAGTATGACCACAGACAGGAAAATGAACATGTGGTTTGTGGCTAGCACTTTAGTTACTCATGAAGTAACTTTCTACTGAATTCCGGACAGCTTGCTTTGAATGGATGTTTTTGTGAGGCCGGTTAATTAATAGTAAGTGAGATATCCATGAGAAAATGTGGGCAATATTTATTTTAATTCCTCCAAAAGTCTTGTGTTATAAACATGCCCAAATGTGCCCACACAAACAATGCAAAGTAAAAAGTTTACAACACATCATACTAGAAATTTGAGAGCACGTAATATGTAAGAAAAATGTGTAAGATAACTGTTCTTAAAAATCTGAAAACTCTATTCATTGTCATTCTTATGCATATCTAGAGAGCAACCTAGCCGAGTTTACAAAACATTTCTTATGACTGCTGTGATTTTCGCAGTTAAGGAATCGGGAACTCACAATATGTACATCAAGCTTAAATGGCTTGTGTATGTTACAAGTATAAAGCAGTAGGCAGGGTAAATATGACAAATGTGCTGAAGTCCTGACATTGCAAAATCTTGACTAAAATAAACAAACAAACAAAAACGACCCAGAAATCATCTCTGTGATAAGAGAAAAGACATTTCACTTTTTGTGAAAGAGAAGAGGTTTCACCATCCCCGCCAGAATCTTGGGCAGCTGGGCAGCAATCACCTCGGACATCATCTCAGGGAATTCAACACTCAGTGCACGGGACTGGAGAAATGTGTTCAGGCAGAAGAGATGAAGCTGTTTCACCAGCTGGATTTAATAAAACACAAACATGATTAATCGGGCAAACAGTAATGCAGATAAACATGCTGTCAACCACTCATCTCACGTACCCATCAGCTGACACCTTTATATACCTTCCTCTGTCATTCCTTGCACTGATAATCTCACTTCCTACTAAAATATCCTTCTGTGCCAAAAAGTCACAAATATGGCTAAATGGCATGTCACGTAAAACCAGCGCCTCATATCACAAACTGTCATCCCCCTCTCTCACGACATGCACTGTGAACCATGGTGACTGCTAAGCAACGGTTCAACCTTCCATTTTATCCTCGCGCTCAACACCGGTCTCAAAACCCTGTTTAGTATATGCTACTCAAACACTGCTCCGAGGGGCAGCACTTACTACTTCCTTACAAGCTTTTCCATCATTCTGAGAACAATCACACCAGGGTACGCCGCAAACATTTAACTCCACAGGCCCTTGTCCCTTGAAAGCAGGTGCTCAACAGATATGGTTACTTCACCTCTTCTATCTTCTCTGAGAAGTTCCAATTTTATGTAAGTATTCCTTTCAGACCTGTGACCTTTATACTGTCAAATAATATACAGTTTCTGCTACCCTGGGCTTTAACAACAAGCAGTCTCTCCGGTGTGATTATCTCTTCCTTGTATCTGCCGTCACTTTATCAGCCTGAGCTGAAATAGGGACTCAAACTAAGATGATCTATAGACCAAACATGACCCTAAGCAGCACTCTGCAGCCTAGTTTGCAACAAGCCTCACTCACTCTTTTCCACTGAGGCTCTCATACATTAAGTATTTGAATGAAGAGATTGTAGAGCCCAGCCCTCAAGAGTTTTCCTCTGGATACTGTAACACGCAGATTGCAAATGATCCGTCCAGGTAAAGCAGGAAGACTTTTTATCCCAAGCAAGACTGATCCAGACAGGCTCCTTGAGCACAGAGCTGCCATGAGTAGCACGCTGGCCAGTGCTCGTTTCTTGCCAGTAAAAGGTGACTGAGCTCCAGAGAAAGGTTTAGCAAGCTGCCAACAACTGCAGTCTGACTGCCAGTGAGTTCTGAGGAGCTCCGTATCTCTTCAGAATTCTCTGTCATCTCCCTCTACCTGCAAGGATGCTTTTTGTACTAGTCTCATTCTTCTTTTCATAGAATCATAGAATCATAGGGGTTGGAAGGGACCTCTAGAGATCATCTAGTCCAATCCTCACGCCAAAGCAGGATCCCCTAGGGCAGCCACACAGGAATGCGTCCAGTTTGAACGTCTCCAGAGAAGGAGACTCCACAACCTCTCTGGGCAGCCTGTGCCAGTGCTCTGTCACCCTCACAGTAAAGAAACTTCTCATGTTGAGGTGGAATTTCCTATGTTCTAGCTTACACCCATTATTCCTTGTCCTATTACTGGGCACCACTGTGAAGAGACCAGCATCTTCCTCTTGACACCCACTCCTCAGATACTTATATACATTAGTAAGGTCCCCTCTCAGCCTTCTCTTTTCAAGACTAAACGGTCCCTGTTCTCTCAGTCTCTCTTCATAGGAGAGAAGTTCAAGATCTTTCATCACGCTCATAGCTCTCGACTGGACTCTCTCCAGTAGGTCTCTGTCTCTCTTGAACTGGGGAGCCCAAAACTGGACACAGTATTCCAGGTGTGGTCGCACCAGGGCAGAGTAGAGGGGAAGGAGAACCTCCCAAGACCTGGTATCTGAGACAATGTAACAGCTAAACGGTGAACATGAGTTCTGTGGATGGCAGAAGCTGCTCAGAGGTTTGTAGTGTGCACAGTGGATCAAAAGACTCCAGACCACTTGGTGAACCACATAATTACCAATACTCCTACCTCTCTTATCTACCATAAATGGACTCTTCATAGGTTGGGCTTTTTCCCCCTCATTAGAAGGAAGAATTAGTGACAATGAGAGCTTTTAGATTAATAAACGGATTTATTCCCAAACAATTAAAATAGGTTTGGCTTTTTCCCCCTCATTAGAAGGAAGAATTTGTGACAATGAGAGTTTTTAGATTAATAAACGGATTTATTTCCAAACAATTAAAATAAAATGCAGATTTGCCAAGTGCAGAAGGATACAAACATGCAAAGACCCCATCCTTCCCTGAACTCCCTGCGAGCTCCTCACAACCAGCACTGAACTCAAAGGTGTTTGCTCTTCCTAAACCACCTTAGAGCTGCTTTCCCAGCCCTTGCTGAAACTGTCAGGGATGACTCAGTACCTCTGGTTTTTGCCTCTCTTGCCGAGATGCACAAGCCATTACAGAACAACATTCACGTGGGCAAAGGTTTACACAAAATGTCCTTCTTCAGTCTGAGTGGATGTTAAACCAGTAGGATACGTACTGGATCCTCAGAGATGTGGAAAGGATTTAGCTGCATCTTTTAAGACACTTACAAATCTCTTACGATATCTGGAGTTCTCAAAGATTACTCAGCTCTCAAATATAGACAGATACTGGAAAATGGCATAGATAATGGCATTACATATGTAATTAAGTTTAATTAAGGTTGCAAAATCAATCTTAGTTCTCTAATTCTTAGCAGCTTGGCTTCACAACTTGAATTGCCTATTCTTTGCATTATTTAGTTATTTTCATGAACGTGGATACACATGCACACACACTATCCCCTAGCAAAATCCCTAACTGCACTAGTTGCGTTACAGAAATAATGAAGCAAAATGGAAGCATTCAAATGCATGTTTCTCAAAATATTTAAATCTTGTATACCACATAATATATGCACAATATATATTCATGCTGAATATACAGCTATCCATTGAAACAAATATACACAGTGAAGGAAAAATGTAGGGGTTTTTCTTTTGTTGTTTAGAAATGTGGACTAGTCACTCTCCATAAAATTACTTTTAAGAAATACCAGTTCCTTCTTATGTAAAAATCAAAACACATTAAGAATAAAACTTACATCATGCATGGAATCCATCAGTTTTGTAAGTTGATAGAAACGCTGTGAGTTGGCCACAACGCCTTTCTGGCGCAAACCAATTGCCTTCACCAGTTCTCTAATGTAGCTCGTTCTCATCTCATCAAACTGACTTTGACTTCTTAGACCTTCCAAAGGAACTAAAAAGAAAGGAACACTTACTTGGTCATTTATTCTGAAGGCAACGAGAGAAATCTGAAGTACAGGAACAACTGACAGTATTTCACGCTGCGTAGTACAATTCATTATTATACACCAGATAAATCTTCGTGTTCTACAGTTACTCCAGAAACAGTGATACAATTAGTGAAAAAGGTTGTACCAGCAATAATCAGTCATTTCTGCTAATTGCTGATGTCTAGAAATAGCCTTAAGCTTCAGCTGCACCTGTCTGCTGAAAAGATGGCCAGAAGAACCACTTCTGTCCTTGAGGAAAGATTTTATGAGCGGGTTTGTGTTTACACTGCTGAGGGTCTGCCCTCCTCATAGATCTACATGAGAGAGATCTAGCTGGAGGGCTTCAAAACAGAACCAAGGAATGAACTAACAAGTAGTGTAGGCAGGAACATATCCAGGGCTCGGGCATCCTGTTTGCACCTCTTCCACCTAACAGAATAGATGCACTATCAGAGTCTTAAAAATGGATATGTCGTAACATCTGCAGACCTCTATGAAATCTTTTTCACATAAAGTGACATTCTGGTGGAATTTAGGGTTAGGTAGATGCTACCTTTGACTTATACTCCTAAAACAGCAATTAAGTCCTTACATTTCTCCTGTGAAATAAGTTGAAAGACCTCTTCCAGCAATGAATGGCCCGTTTCCCTCCAATTCTGCAAAAGCACAGTCATATTCCAATCTAATCACAGAAAGTTCCACTGAGCTATTTATTTAAGTGAAGAATTACAGTGTCTTACATGCACTAATGCAACTTAAACACAGGTAGCTCAAACGTTCCTTCCCCCTGAACGTATGCAATGAATGTGGACGCTTTTATTCAGCGGCCAGAACCCAGACAAAATCTTAAGCAACAAGATTTTGCAGTACCCCTCAATCAAACGCCAGGAAAGCATCAGAGCTAGAACGGAACTTGCTGTATGCTTATTCTTCTCTTTTTTGGCATAGCTCTACTTTTTAAAATCATATTCTTTCTGAACTACTCATAGTATTAGTTCCTAGGTGGTCTCTGCAAGACAAAGTGCTGTTTAGAAATTAACACAGCATGTAACATGCAGTAAATAAAGAACTGTAAAATGGAAACAACTGTAGAAAATAAAAACGTTGGTCCACTTTTAGCCAAGACTAATTCTGCTTTCAAGACAGCCTTAAAAGTGTCACAAGTAAAAGATAAAGAAAACACCTAACTCACTGCAAATGCAATGGAAAAACTGTAAAATCAAAAATAATGTTAAAACATAGGCTGGAGGTTCTATTCATAATTCAAAAAAATATCAGGACTGATATGTAGTTATACTTGATACAAATTACTGTTTGTTTGAAATTATATAAAAAGTAAAAAAAAATCATCTAAATAATAAATCAAACAGAAGACAGAATGAGAGACTAGAAGTTCAAACTTGATTTACTGTTAGTATGTGAAAGCTTGAAATGGCCATACTTTCACATTTGAATAGGATTAACATGAATACCATAATTAAAATAAAAGTAGTCTTAAAAACACTGTATAAAAACAATGAAGATGTATGAGTTTTGCAAGAGTTCTGCGGAATTGTATTTATACAGTACCAAACGTTTACTAAATGGCTCAGCAACAACGGTTACATGTGTTCCTCTTCCCAAAGATCTAACAAATTGTTTTTTCCTATAAGACAGTAAGTGCAGGAGAGAACAGAAAGCAGAACTCATCAACACAGGTAGAAATATTTTCTTTTTTCTTTTTTTTTTAAAGTAATTTCTTGCATATATATATACATACATCACCTTAAAAACGAGTTTCTGAGTGCAATGCTGTTGATAAAGAATGGCAGCTTGATGAATACTGTTAAATTGAGGCACCTGTAGATGAGAGGGACTGCACCACTGTAATTATTTTTTTTAAAAATTGGATTTGATCTTCTCAGGATAGAAGTAGGTAGATGGAATACCACAAATGTATCTAAATTTCACTGAAATTTAAAACTTCCCTCTAAGATCCAGATGACAGACAAGGGAGTTCATTTATGATGAAAACAAGATAGAAAATATTTAATTCAGATTCCAACACAGCAACAGTAGCTGCATCAGCAAAGCATTTTTTTCTCACATTTTTATTGCTTCAGCAGAGTGTATGGTGTTTTGCTATTATTTTAGTAATTTTTATGTTCATATGAACTAAATTTACTCTTTAGTGCTTATGCTCTTCTGAGATCAAGCTTTTTTAAGCATGAGCTTACGCAAAGACCAGCCAAGTGCAGCTTAAGAGGGAATAAATTTTAGTTTCGTATCTTTTACTGAAATTCAGTACAAGCCACAAGCAAGTTATGCAGGATGTGTACATCTCTCCTCTGACTCCGTAAATGTGTAGAGAACAAAACTTCTACATTTCTTAAAGGTGTTTATTCTCATTTCTAATAGCACTTGTACCATTTAAAAACTTTCTATTTGGGGATATATAAGTAACGATCCTGGCTTCAACAGATGCACACTTTAGTATTTTGGAAAAAGTTTTGGAAGATAACTTCATCAGCCACCACACTTCCCATTTAAAGTGGAATGCAGCTGTACGCTGGATTCTTTAAAAGGTGCTTATGATTAAAAGTGACCACAGACTTTGTTCTAGAGAAACAACCAAAGAAAAATATTTCCATTTGTTTATATCTGTGCTAAACTTGACCTATTTATAACTGCAAAAAGTTGAATAAATGTTAGTATTGTTTGCCACGTCCAAATCCCTAATTCTTTTGAGTAAGCACGCTTTAAGTTCTTGGCCAAGATAAAGCCCTTAATCCTGACAATTTATTAAATATTTTTAAATATACTCTAATGCTTGTCAAGTTGGGTTTTTTTATCTGTGTAGAGTCATTTAAGCTGAAGAACTTCCAGGCAGAAACACTGTACACTTGATCTGAAAATAAGTTTAACACAGTATATCTATATATCAAAAGGTATCCAACATTTCTCCAGTGTCTTTATATAGAATAAAGCAAACAATGAATCACAAATTATTTGTTCCTTATAAACACTAGAAAAAAGTATTTTTAGGTCTTTGAATACTAATATTCCTCGTAAAGAAGTTTCCACTTGTTAAGCCAGAGAGTTTAGCAACTGTCAAGTCAAACAAAATGGTTCAAAACTCTCTGACTAGTGGTATGTTACAAAGAAATAAAAGAACCTACTTGTGTTGAGAAGTAACAGTGCTTTCATACACAGGAACTCTTCTTGGCTAACTTGAAGTCTGACAAATTCCTGTGGGAGCTGCCACATGGATAGACACAGGGAATAGAACGATGATTCTTTCATCCTCTGTCTTACACCCAGAAAAGGTAAAAAAAAATTTTAAAACAGTGAAAATAAGGAAAAAAAACCAGCTCTGGTATTAACTGTTTGAAGGAAGTGTCTTGTTAGCAGTTTAATTACCACATCACAGAAATTAAAGAAATAGATTATACACATAAATGGTTCTTCTGACTTTTTTGCACCTGCACTGCCCAGGCAAGTGGGTGAATCACCGCGATCCTCAGATGTATTTAAAAACTGTCTAGATATGGTGCTCAGGCACATGGTTTAGAAGTGGGTCTGGGAGAGTTAGATAATGGTTGGACTTGACGATCTTGAAGGTCTTTTCCAACCATAATTATTCGAGGATTCTATACACTATTTTTTTTATTTTAATGATTGTGTTATTATTTTGGATGTATAATCTGCTACTGCTGCCCAGAAAAAAACCTTAAAGACTATCAAAGCTGAATGATAACCACTGAAAAAGAAAGGTTTTTTATTAATTAAAAACACCCTAATGATAAACCTTTTACAGGTTTGATAGATTTTTACACTCTCTGAAAAGATTTCACATCATAAAACTGAAGATAAACCCGAAAGTTTACAGCTAATGTGTTCTTAGGTTTTGAAAAAATGTCTGCATCAACAATGAAGACAGAAGATATCTTCCATTAATAAAAGACTTTTCTCAAGTCTTCTTTGTTTAACATCCAATATCTTGTACCAGCTCTTGAATGACTTAAACATAGAAATTTAACATTAGATGTGAATGGACTGATTACTTCTACATATAGAATCATAGAATCATAGAATCATTGATTACCAGGTTGGAAGCGACCTCAAGGATCATCCAGCCTAATCTATTTAGGTCAGGAAATATAGTTTAAATGAGATGGCCCAGCACCCTGTCAAGTTGAGCCTTAAAACTGTCTAAGGCTGGGGAATCCACCACTTCTCCTGGAAGACTATTCCAACGTCTGATTGCTCTCATGGTGAAATCTCCATTTCTACTTCTTTCCAGGAGTCTCTACTCCTAATCATTACCTATGAAGAGTGATAGCAGCTTTCAGGGTACACTTAAATGCTGGTCTTTATGTTTTCAGACACTGCAAAGTAACATTAAACCTTTGTAGGGTTTTAATACCAATTCATGGAATCTTTGTCACATTAACACCCCTGGCTTTCTCGATATGAAGTTGATGCTCCCAAACAACTCATTCTCAAGGAGTATTACAACTCAGTTCACTAAATGGCTGCGAAACAACCTTTGGATTGTGGTTTCATGGTCATTTTGAAACATCTCAGGTGTGTGTTGCTCCTGCAGAGGGAACTTCCATTATCTCTTTCCACCTCAAGGTGCGCATTCCTACTCTTCTGGCATTACTGCCTGCATTCCCGCCTGCTGAGTCAGATCAAGGATCATCTCCACCTGCCAATTAATTTCTCAAGTACATAATTTCCTTATCTGTGTGACAGTGTAGCCAGATATTGCTTGACCCAGCTTACATGAAATCATGAGGATGCATGACCTGGGCAGGGAGGCAGGTGGAGGTAACTGCTTTGGTAGTGTTTAACAGTTACCTTGGCTTAAAGTACAATTTTAGACACCATCATATCAAACAAGTTGCTTACATTTTTAGAGCTAACTTAGTTCCCAAAAAACAGCTGCAGCTATGATTTACCATGCCAGTTACTTTTCATATCTAACTTATTTATATATATATATGACCCTGACGAGATGTTCTACAACCAAAAGAAGGGTATGTTGTCAGTCCACCTCCTCCTCAGATGGTCTTGAGCTGCAAAGAAGCAGCTGTCTCTGAGGGATCATATCCACGATTCATAAATGCCAACCCTATTTCGGAAGAAAGTGCTTAAAGTCTTCTTCACAAGATGGCAGCAGTGGTCCACATGCAGGGTAAAACCCTGCCTAAAACCACCTCCCGCTGTGTTTCTTCTGAATGTAGGGAGATCTACCACAGACTATGCTGGGACAGAATGCAGCCAGAAGTTCTCTCAATCTCATCCTCCCAAAGTATTTTGATCTGTACAGCATAATTTATATGCATGTGAGAGGAAAGAACTCATTACTCTATAACCCCACATTGATTTACAGTCATCTGGAAAAGAAAAGGTCAGGAGCTACAGGGTCTGTTTCACTGAATATTTTCTATCAAGAACTTCACTGGCAAGAACTTGGATGTTTATAGATTTTAAATTCAGGTGCCTAGATCTGCATATCCACCTGTTAATCCTTAAACAGATACGTCTTGTAAGAAAATTTCTTTAAATTTCACCTTACTTCATAGTAGTTCTTTTAGGATTTTTTTTAAAAATAACTAAGAAAAGTGTATTAAGGAAAAATAAATAGGGAGATTAATTTATGTTCTACTGTTCCTGGGAAACTCCCATGTACTACAACCAAAGTATCTAAAATTACAGTTTTGACATTAATTTGCAGAGCTGAAAAACTGATAAAGACAAAAAAGAAGACTATTTGAATTAATCAGCATAATGAACAAAAATCTAAGCCAACAATTCCCCTCTTTGATCCAGAAGAAAGGAGTCTCACAAATTCTACCCTTGATATTAAAATTCCTTCTTGCTAAATTACAGTTTTCTAAAAGGAAATGTACTTTAGAAGAATTTTATCAAAAAGTGCCAAAACTGCGTATTTAGACTATATAGAAACTGCAAATCCCACCCAAACCATGACCAAAGAAAATCCCACTTAGTTCTGTATATTAAATTTGTGTCTTATTCAGATGAATTCTGACAGCATCATTCTTTTTAAATTATTTTTCTCTTAGATAATTAAAATATTATTTTAACTCCTTTTCTTCAGCTGTGTCAAAACCCTTCCCAAAGTTACCGAACTTTAATACGATCAGAGGACTGTCTGCTGCTGTTAATTTTGAAACAGAACAAGTAATGAATGATATCTTGGCCTCAACGCAGTCTCATACTCATTGACACAAAGAAGTTCAAAATGTCATTCATATTATGCAACAGCAGAGTCTACTTACTCATTTAGAATCAGATCTGGTGCAAAATATAACATCTGACCACTGACATGTTTGTACGATCTCCATCCCATTGCGAAAACCATTAGACTCATCCAGGAATACTGGATGAGAGTTATCTGATCATCGATGTGCAAATTCCGAAATCCTAGAAATAAATTAGACAACAGCTGAGTAGGTGTTCTGAGATTACAAATTTGAACTAAGAACACCTAGAAAGACAGGTGCTTTGGGATGCAGCTCTCAGAAGTTTCTGAATTTAACAACTGGCTAACTCACTTTGACAGTTAACCTCCTGTCTTTTTGTTCTGATCCAACATTTTGAAATGATCAAATCAAAATTAGCTTTAGCAGTCAAAAGTGACTGCTAAAGTTCAGGGAATAGGAATGCATCTCATTTTCCTTTGGTAAAAATATATGACAATTTCTAACATGATCACTGCAATCATCTCTTATTTAATACAGATAACTTGGACTTCAGCGTCCTTAAGAAAAAAAAAGCTGTAATACAATAATCATCCACATATGAGCATCTTCCTTTCATTTAACTAAAAAGAAGGATATTGCCTGTTTGCTTTGGTTAACTTTTACTCTCTAGTATTGCTATGAGTTATCTGAGTCAATCTAGCAGCTTCCTGCCCCTGAAAGCTGAGGTCCTGTTACCTCCTTCTAGCAAGATCTGGCATTCACACCACCACTCAGTGAACTGGTTTGGCTCATGAAGCCATCAGAAAACTATAGAGGGTAAATAAAAAAAAAAAAGGTTCGCTTTCTTCTCACGTAATGAGATGACTCAGTTCAACCAAGAGGTGCAACAAAAGCAAGTTGCAATGGTGAAGAGCAGTGATAGGGACTATCTCTTTCTGCAGCACTGAAGTGTTCAACTGAGCTCACACAAAACTATTTTCCAGACTTTCTCCTCCATATATTGATTTTTACATAACTCAGTATCAGGCCCTTATTGCCATATGGCATATGTAAATATACAAACACGGATTATTTTTTTGGACTCTAGTCTTGGATCTTCATGAATTCTCTTACTTCTCATTGCCAGTCCACTTGCGAGCTGCTCGGTCCTAGCTGCTGCTATTTATTACAATTTTGCTTTAAAAAATTTATTTGAGTAAGAACAAATACTATGCAGAAATATAAACTTTTTTTATACCAAAAGAATGAATAATAGAGTAAGACGGCTTGGGATGGAAAGGCTGAGACAGATAGATAGATCGATCGATCGATTGATCTCACATTCTGTGGGCTTCTGCTGTTTTTTTGGGGCGAGTCTTTAAACAGAGATGCATTCCTTCGAAAGTGCCCTCCTATTAAAATGTATATGTTACCTGACAAAGTAGAAGCTTAATAATTTTAGAATTTGTTAAGAATTATTTAACAAGCAGACAATATTCTCTTTTGACGGCTCATCTTATGACATATTTGCTTAACTGGAATTCACTGCATACAAGAAGTGCTATTACCTGGTAGCAATTTAGACCACTTGACTACACAAAGAAGTTGCCTCTCACAAAGATGATTTAGACTGGTCAGCAAGGAACTCGGTGTTTCGGGTTTTGTATTGTCATAACCAGCATAGACAACTTCTGGCTCAATGCCTCGTAAAACGCTTATCATCGGGGGGACAAACTGTATTTCTTGATTTGGAGAAAAGGACAGCCTTTGGGTTAGAGACTGGCTTTCATCTGGAAGGGTTGCTGGCTGCTGGAGTGCGACATCTAATGTTCTCACAACCTTAATTTTGTTAAACTTCTTAAATTTTCGACCTGAAAAAGAAAATTGATCATCTGTTAAAAAGGATTACCCAGAAACATTAATATTTTCGAGTAGTGCTGGATTACACTTTTAATCTATGCAAGGAAACTAGAACTGTCTTTAGGAAAAGTTTTTCATTTTTTGACTAGTTATATAATTAAGAATTAATAATGGAAAATTCTTAAGAGTTTCTCCCTCCATATCCTCCTCCCTACACTAACAGATGAACGACACCCACCCATGAGAATTATTGCCATGAATTCTAGGTTACAGTAACCTCATAAAGTGTTTTCTGGTTCAGTTCCCACTGTTCCATCATATGCCGACCGCCGAGCCAGCTGGCTCTACAATTCAGTTTCTGTTCAATGTTAATTAAGGATATTGTTTCTTTTTTCTCCCCACTATTCAGAAATAAAAATGCTAGTAATTAACTACTACACACAGATATTACTTTCCTCCAGTTCCATAAGGGCATTTCAGTCTCGTGGCTAAATTCTGTTTTGATGATCTGTAATGCAATATTTTGCTCCTGTTTACTAAAAAGAAAATACAATTCAGCGGGTGAGTGAAATGCCAACAAAAACTGTAAAACCACGTGTCAACACTTATAAAACTCATCACTTTCTAAAGAATAATTCCTCTCTCTCAGCATTTGCAATTCTTATCTCCATACCGCAGTGGTTTTAAGAACACTAACTAAAAAGAACCAAACACATAGCTCAACAGCATTGCCAAAAATAAGCACAGATACTACACCTGGTATGACTATGGAAATACGGAGAGCTCTAGGTAACAACTCTTCAAAGCTCTTTCATGGCAACAGTCCGTCAGTGAACCATACAGACACAGAAAATCAAACCTCCTGAGGTTAAACGACAATAAACCTCAGTAACATATTACCATATGACAAGTTTCAACAAAAAGGCGAATCCACATGGAGGCGACTGCAGGAACACATTTGCTTTAAACAGACGCGTAAAGGTGATGAAAACCGTGTTAGGCAACTAGTTTTGCCAAGGAAGTTTGGCTTAGTGAAAAAAAGGATAAAAAAATGCAATAAAGATACTGATAGTCATGATCTGATTTATGATCTGAGAGTGGGCAGTAAGACAGATGCAGGGTGATAGAAAAAAGAAGGGTGATAGAAAAAAGAAGGGTAAATCAGTCTGCTAACAAAGAAAAAAGTTTACAATGTTTCAACCTTGAAGAATATAGTAAGAAAGGAGAAGGATTTGCTCCAAGTAACACCCAGAAATCACATGGATATTTTTACTTGTTCAGGTGTTGTATACTTTAAAAATAATAGACAAAGAGCTGCACCAAATTTCAATGGATGGTGAAATGTCAATCTACAAAAAACACTCTAAAAGTGCAGGAGGCAAAAGGTAATGAAAGCATAACAGTACACATCTATTTGGTTGAGTAAAAACCCAGTTTGTAACATGCAAATCAAATTGCCTTTGGGAAAGTGGCGTTCTTATTTCTAGAAGATTAGACAAGGGAATTTGCCGCATCCTTAAGAATGGGACAAAGACTTGCCCAGCTCTTACTGTCTGCTTTTTATTTTAGTTGAAAGCAGTGCTGAGCTGCCACAATGCAACCGGGGTACCGAGGACACGGGAGCAGGGAAGCACACCCAGACGTGGGCACGTGCCCTGAATCCATTCTCAGCTGTTTGTGGAAGGAATTGGGAGATGCGAGCGTAGTCACCCTCCTCTGTTTCCCCCTTGGAAAGTCCCAGTCCTCCAAACCACAGTCTAGAACGGAAAGGTTCAACAAAAATGGCTTTACCCAGGAACATGCCTATTCCATTTTGTTCGAGTGCTCCCACATCACAGAAGATAGCAAATTTTATGAAAATTCAGTGTCTCCTTTTGGGAAGACCTAGGATGCACACATCAGGAAACTAAACTAACCTTTTCAAAACATTTATTAGTACATGGGTAGTGTAACTTCAAGCAAGATTAATTCATCAACCATAGAAATATGTCTAAATATTTTATACAGAACAAATTCTATTACTTATACTAAATTATTCTTGATGTACATTGGCATAACTGGAGGCAGAATCAATCCTCTTGTTTGTGAATCACAGGATCAAGCAGATGAACTTAATATAAATAGCTAAAATCTGCTTTTAAAAAAAAATGAAAAATTGTGTTATCCCACCATAAATACGCATGTGTATGCAATTTGCACACAGAAAAGTAAGTTTACAACAAAACTGCAAAACAGAAATTTAAAATAAACCAGTATTTAAAATCCGAAGAGTGTATACTAAACAAAATTTCAAGAAAAAACCTTTATTGATAGTATAAATATGAGTGATAGGCTCTTCAGTAAAACTCATCATCTAGCAGAGTTAGAGGCCAAACTCCCACTAACTTAATTGTGTGTTAAATTAGCTTAATATCAAGTGCTCCAACAATCTTATGCTTATTTATCACCTGAGTAAGAATGGAAATATTTCTGATTGGTGACTCCTTAGTAAAGTACCACACACAAACTTACACCTTATGGTACAGCTAAACCAAGAAAACCAACACAACAAAAAAAAACCAAACTCAAAAGAATAGACAATATATCATGACAAGAGACCTAGGGCCAATTTCTATCATAACAAAGCTATATATATTCCTAAACATGCTGGGAATTTCCACCAACTATTGTTTAGGCATGAAGGAAAACAGAAGGAACAATGCATCTGATAGTTCATAAATAATGATTTCAGGTATTTTCTGAAATAATGGCCTCAGATACTTTTACAGTCCAGAGAACAAGTAAAGAAAGAAACCAAACAGTGCTTATCACATGGAAATGTTAGTAGTTAATAAGTACTCATGTTTCCAAGTGATTAAATGTATCAGAATTAATGTCACACTGCTTTGCAGAATTGCTTATGTGTTTATTTCTGATAAAGCAACTCCACTTGCTGCTTGTCTGCTGGAGATGTGACTAGTAAGAACTTACAGTGCACTTTCCCGCGTGCCACAAGGAGACTGTGTCAAATTAACGCAAACTCTTAAGAACATAAGGAAACCAACAGATCTGACAGTAGCTTCTTACAAAAATTACCCTGTAAGATAAACAACTCTAGTTCTTTAATGTGTAAAGAATACTAATACGCTCTGGCAACTACTCATCTTAATACTAAAACATATTTAGACAGCACACCTTTTCTTTGTAACATTTTCATTATTTGTTTTAGGATAGCCAACCACTCAAGCAGTTTCTCTGCACTCTCAGTAGCCTTATCCTTGATTGCTACAAATAGCATGTGTTTAGTGTCTGTGTACTACATGTACCTAGAAAACATAAAGAAATGAAAAAAATAAAGTCTACTTAATCTCATCATCAAATATGTTACAATTTTCTCCTTAACACATAATTCTGTACTTTAATACTCTTTTAACTAGGGATATAGAACCATACTGCCCATCAGACATTACTGATAGTGGACATTTCATATAAAGATGGCTGGGCTTCTAGGAAAAGTCTAACATCTCACTGTCCCTCTCCACACCTTATAATCAAGTAAAAAATGACAATGACTTATTATTCTTGACAGAACACTATGGCTTGAGCTTTAAGGTCACTATGCTCTTGCATTTTGTGTAGGAGAACAAGCTGTGTACACTCTAGGAGGATGCATGTAAAATAAAGGAACAAAGCAGAAGTAACACATCTCAATTTTAATAAATCCTCTGATGCTACCTCAGAAAACATTACCTGGAAAATGAATTCAAATTTATCTGCATGTAATCGCTGCAACGCAGACTGAAAGCTGAGTGACACAATGAAGAAAGTGATAATTTAGCAATACAGCTGAACAAAGAATCGGTGATAGACAGGTTGGGAAAATTAAAAATTCACCGATAGGAATTAAAAAAGCAGAGTACTTGTTTATTCCAGGACCTGCCCCAGCTATCTGCTATTCTATTAGGCAAAAGATCAGAATGGGAAGAGAGTAAGGTGTCCAGTTATAAGATTATAAATCTCATTAAATATATGCTTTCATTAATACTTTCTTTCTATATAATAAGAAAGAAGAAACAGTCCATATAGTGAAATCAGTTACTGAAGCTATTTGTTGCTGTAAATTGTGTAATTTGCTTACAACCGACTACAATTTCTTTTAGAACGATTCAGGTTGATTTTATTGCTTTGAAATTAGAGTCGGAAAGTGGAACTGTTGTCAGCGTAATATAATATTATTCTCTATCTATATGGTTGCCACTCATTCACATTCAGTGGAAGAAGCTTAATTTAATTAAAATAATAAGAATATTTAGAATCTTATAGTTAATATCCTGTAAAACCTTAGTCTTTTTCACCTTGATTAAGCAATATTGAAGGTCTGTGTTTAGTAGCTGAAGGTTACCATTAAGAAATTATGTAGCAAGAAGAACAAAATTATACCTATGGAAGATTAAAGTATTGACTATTCTGATTCATTTAAAATAGTCAAGGATGTAGCTAAGCATATGATTTGTTCCATGAACTGGAAATTTTCTTGTGGACACTTACATCTTGGGGAAAATTATCTATGCCCAGTAGTACCCCATATATGAATCATACGGTGTTGATCAGCATGGCAAATCGTGGGTAGGAAATACTGCTCATGTGATACAATAAAGGAAGTATAAGAAATAGCAGAAGAGCAAAAATAAGAAAGATTAACAGTAACAGTAGAAAGGAAAATACGATTAAAGAGTCTATCTTGAGATTTTTGTTGGTTTTAATTTTAAATCCTCATTTACAAATAGTATAGCCTCACTTCAGTTTTCCTTATGTTTTGGGTCTACATTTGTCTTTTATTCTCCTTTCAGTATTAAGTACTCCAATTCAACTTGAGTTGAAGAATTAGTCTTCTAATCCCCCCAGAACTGCTGACATCACTAACAGCACCTAAAATACTACACTCAGCCTGATGCAGCTGAGAAAAAGCTAGAGATGCCACAGTCTCAGCTCCATTCAATATTTCTTTTTTTCCATTGTCCTACTGTTTTCTTCTACTTCCTATTTGTCACCACATCACTTCTTTCCAGGAGATGGGGTAGGTGGGAGGGCAGAGATTTGTCAACATGCCATGCCCCTCTGAGAACTAGAAGAATTAGACTGCAACAGCCTCCTCAAAAAATGGAAGACAGCTTTAAGATATATTTAGAAAAAGGCTAAACAACACAACTGCCTAGACAGAACAACCCAGCACTAAATACAAAGAAACTCTTCACGCTTGCTCCGGTGTAGCTGAGAAAAGAAGTGATTCAAAGAGAAAGTTCTTATTCTCTTCATAGATGATAGTAAAGAACTGAGAATCAGAGCACCTTTATCCTCAGGTTTTGGTTCCAAGTTTGAGGACAAAGCATCCTCATATAAGGACATGCTAATGAGGACATACCATCCCATCACCACTGCTAGCAAAAACATCCAACTTTTTCCAGTTTAGCTACCTACACCCAGAGTAAAATGTATATATCAAAATATACCAGGAAAACTTGCATCCAGTTGCCTTCTGGCTAGACTTCCTAGGTAGGATTACGATGCAGCACAATGCTGAAGCGAAAGGACTAGATGAATCTCTTGAGTCCCACACATGCCTGTTGATGAAGTGTTGCCTGGGTTAGAATACTTAGGGTTTCGTTATTTGTATTATCCAGGCTATCATACATGAAAACGCAGGTTACACCATCATCCAACTCTTGGCTGTGCGAAACTCACATCCAGGAATGAATTTTTACCTGTATTAATCTACACTAAGTAAACTCATAGAATGATTTGGGTTGGATGGGACCGTTAAGGATCATCTAGTCCACCCCCCCTGCCATAGGCAGGGACATTTTTTACATATCAAGTTGCTCAACTTTTACAAGACAACCTTAAAAGTTGTCTCAAACCTTAAAAGACAAGCACTGTATCTGCCACCTCTGCCTTTCCTGAGTCTCCATTCCTACCACATATTTTCCATAGCCCACTCTGGATCCACACAGTCCACTCTGGATCTCCTTGGCTTTTTCCTCTCCTAAGCCTGGGCAGTTAAAGCTCTGCAGTAATACTGTTTCCCTGCACTGTCACTTACAGAAGACAAAGTATTGAGAGCTGGCAACAGCTGCTCACTGTTTGGGAACGACTGGTTCACATCACTGAAAAAAAGTATAAAATGTAAGAAGGACACAAGGGCCATGTGTACAGGATGCTCTAACTCCATACGATGTTAGAGGAGCTCAAAGTATACAATGAAAATATCAGTCTGGAAACAACACACACGCTTTAACTAATGAATTAACACAGATGAGAAGGATAATGAAATTGCGCACAGTATATAATGTCAGTTCTTCCTTCAGGGATCAAAAACAGTACAGAAAATCCAGACAGAGATATGTTTGAGGTACTAAAATAAATTATATAATAAAGAAATCAAGTTTTTCTCCTTTTTTTAACTCTCTTTGCAAACCTATTCTTTCTATCACGTTTGTATAGCCATTTCCTTATAGTATTAGCCATGTATACTCAAGCTTTGTGCTGATCCAAAACATTTTATAATTAAAGTTCTCATAAAAACACAGAAGAAAAAATCAGGAAGAATATGCATCATTCCCACATGTCAGCACAGCTAAACTTGCCACGTGACTACCTGATCCTGCGTCATTTTCTCCCTGCAGCTTTTCAAAAACATAGTGCTCAACTTTGATAAATGTTACATAAAAAAGTAAATCTATTAGAGCAAGAACTAACACAAAGATGGGAATTCCCAGCACCTGCTATGCAGTCTGCAAGTGTTGGTGCAACCACTGCCTGGTCCTCCTCAGCAGAACAGAAGGATATCATTTGGTTGATATGTACCCAAAGCAATGATGAGAGCATAACAGAACAAAGAAGGGGATAGTACTGGTTCTTGACTTTACTGTTAATCTCAATTTGCTTGTTTTTTACCTAGGTCAGAATATCTGATCCAAAATTATTAATACACATACAACAAGGGCTCTTTCTGCCGTTGTAAGAAAATGAATATAAGTGGACACTTTAGGAGAGGGATTCCTATAGAAAGGTGGGGTTTTTTCAGGATTTCATAGAATTATAGAATCACAGACTTTCAGGCTCATTAAAAAAACCTGATAAGTAATTTTAAGACATGGTGTAATTCTTCCACGAATAACATTTTTATGTGTTTCTATCCCCTATAATATCAAAATAACGTTGTTTAAACTCAACAGATTGAAGGTAGTGTTCAGTGTTCTTGACAGCCTATCTGTCCCCATCAAATCTGAAACGCGACTCACCTCCCAGGACCATACCAGCTTGACAGCACTTCCTCAAGCGACATGCTGGGCAGTTCTTCCTACGAATTTTATCGACTATGCAGTCATTTCTTCCAGCACATAAATAGTTGTGCTGCCCTGTAAGCAAGAGAAAAATAGGATTACTACTATGTTTTCTAACATGACGAAATCATTTATCTGCACAGGTATTTCCAAAAATAACAGAAGAATCAAAAAAACCGTACCTAAACCATTAAAGGATTCCTTCATTTCATACTAACTTTCAAACACTTACATGTTACTATTTAAATATAATTATTCAGCCTGTTTAAGAGTGAAACTCCCTGTCTACGAAATCCCCAAACAACTAGCACACAGTATGAACTGCTTAAATTACTGTAGTGTCATTATCTTCTAAGTAAATCAAGCATGAAGACTGACCAATTTGTTTCTTTCAAACTTATGTTTTTAAATTACTGTTCCTGGTCTTAAAGAACTTAAGTAAATTTTGCTTGAACTGATGAGGAGCTTCTGGCAGGAAACAGAATGAAGAAGTTGGGACAGTGCAAAAAAAGAGCCCTTTAAGCAGAGTAAATTACCTATGATGGAGAAGTTTTGTACTAGACCTACTGAAATACCAACTGAACAGATGCAGCCAACACAGCCAAAAATAAAAGACAAATAGATGAAAACTGGTTTTGTTAGTTCTTACTTCATTGTTCAGTTCTGAAGGATTCAGTTAGGAAGAGCCTGTTATTATTATCATACTAAAATGGAATCTTTTAAATGAAATTAGCTTCCAGCGGAGCAAAAAATTAAACTCAATTAATATCTTGACATTCTTTTGAACACAAACTTCAGTAATTCCTAATTTTAGTTGAGAAAGAGAAAAAAGTAGTATATGTCTATGCTTTAGTATAACATTGATAATTTCTGTCATTTATTTTAATTTTGAATAAATAAACACAGCTAAGTACATATCCAAGAAGAAACTGAAGCTATTTTTCACATATCCTACCAAAATAAGCCCAGGTTTACCCATTAAAGTTTAACTTCAAAATCCTGCCTCTTTGTGCACATCACCCTCTATTCATTTCTGTATTTTCAGTTTCTTAGCAGTATCCAGCATGAAAGCATGAAAACAAATAAACAGTGTTTATTTGGAGAGCAACAAAATGGATTAAAAATCTATGGGCCACCTGCAGAAATACCAATGTCATGGATACTTCCTTCATGGAATACTGTGGATGTGGACCTCCAAATACAAGAGACATCAATACCAAACCTTTTAAATTTTCAGTAATTTCTAAATCAGTACTACTCTCAGTTAGCCACCTTATGTGACCAGCAGCAAATAAATCTGAGGTGATCATTCTATTCAGGTGCTCTTATTCAGATTTCTCTATAACCCTATTCTGTCCTTGCCCTGCACACAGTAAAATGAGAAACTGTTCACCCATCATTTTTCTCCACAGAAGACAGATAAACTGCAAACTAATCCTTAAATGTAAATGCAGGAGAAGGAAGAACATTCTATTCTAACAAAAGAAAAGAGCTAGTGCTAAACCATGTCAAAGAACGTGTTTGCTTCTGTGCTAACATTTTTTTAGATAATTTACTTCTTACTCATATATCTAAGAACAACTTGTTTGGTTTTAATGAAAGAAATTTCATTGCCTGAAATTAATTTTTATAAAAGTTTATTTTTTAGAAAACAAGTAAATAAAAACAGTTGCCTCACGCATTGCCTGGCATTTACAAGTAATGCATCAACTCAAAAGAAACTGTCATTTACTTTCTCTTACTAATTCTAATCCTGGATTCCTTCTTCCAGGAAACTTCACCAAAAGTAACCAAATGAATAAAAATCTGTCTTGCTTTTGGCAGCAGAACAGGAAGCAAAACACTTCTTTCTAACACATCTTACTTGGGATTATTTGCAGTTTTCCCTCGTCTTGCTTTGCTTTTATTAGCTACAAAAGCATGCAGTCTTTTGATAAGCAAGAACAGTTTCAAAACTTTGTTAGTTTAACTAGAATCTATAAAGCATCAGATTATCTTGCACTGTGGCACTCTGATGCTTTAATGTACAGATAATTTAAAAAGGAACCCTTAAACATGGGTTAATTTTTGTTTGCAGGTGTCTTGGTTTGGGGACTTTCCTTTGGTCCCCTGAAAGTGTCTCTTCTGGGCCTCTTTTCCAGGGAATATTTTGAGTCTACACAACACAGTCTGAGTCCACATAACCCATGTCCATTGCGAGACCAAAAAATGGGCTCTATTTCCAGTACGGCAATTAATGTTCACAAACAGCTCAGGCATTCGAGTTGTACTTTTTGTCCTGTAATGGTACAGAAAAAGGCTGATCTACCAATGTCAGATTGTGAAATATTACTCTTCAAGCACTCAGGAACAGTGTTTATCCGCTCTAGAATTTACTCTTGACATTGGCGTGTGATCTCCATACTCAGCACCCAAGCGTGTGTTCTAACCGGGAAGGAGAGGCTAATGAGCTTGGGTAGAATCAGTAACAGCAGCACTGTTCCTGCTGGAACAGGAAAGGATCTGGAAAAATAGAAGGTTGTAGTTTGTTTTACATTGATACATGTTTAAATAGCCTGTATTATTTATATAATAGTGTTCAAATATTATGCTTCTAAGATTAAGCATTACGAATCAAATTATAACATTTTATATTTACAGTTACATGTTTATCTACAGCTCTAGAAAGCCTCTTCATAATTTACGGGCTATCAGTCGATCAGCTTCCACTTTAGTTGAAATTACATTACTTCATCATTACATAACAACTCACAAACTGCTTATTATAAATCCAAGATTGAATAAAATTTTTCACGTTCGCAAAACAAATTGTAAATGAATCACAGTTATGAAAATTACTCTTCAATGTTCATGTTCTAGAATTTAACACTAGACAGGATTAAATAATCTCTCTATCCAGTGCACACCACAGAAGTAATTAAGTTTGTTACTGCAACCTAGCCACAGTAAGAATTTGGTTTGATCTTCTAAAAGTATTATTTCACTCCTACTTATTCCACAAATCATATTAAAAAGCTAATAATGACTAACAACTCAATCTTTCTTATGTCTTCACCTCATTTACTTCTTTCATAAAGACTCCATGATACCTAGCATAAAAAAAAAGAAACAAGAAAATGCCAAAACCCTGCCAACCCAACCCCCACATGAGATTAAGATAGTAAAACCTCAGGTACTTTTTGATTCTTACTGACAACCACTTCCTTGTTTTCAAGACTAAAAAAAAAAAGTCATATCCTGCACCTGAATTACACCTTCACTTCAGTTTTCTACTCTGCTGGTCTCTATCCAATCTCTCCCCACCATCTCCCAAACCAAAGTGTATTCCGTTCATTCTGATTTAGCTGTAACTTATTTGGAACACTTAAGGTTCATTTATATATTGTTTTTCATAGGGTCAGCTGTCAGGGGTTTTTTATTATCTGAGTCCTCTGATTGGATCTCTTAACTATAGATAAATCTGAGTAAATGTTCTCATCCAAAACCACTTCTATGACTGTCAGGAACTGGGTTCTGAGAAACTGCTACTTGCTTGACATTATGCGTCAGCAAGCATCTAAAGGACAGGTTATGTACGAAATGGAAACGTGCCAGATATTTAATTTCAAAATCACAGGACAATATTTAGTTAGATGAAGCTGTCTGCAAAGTTTTCATGGGATGCTAAAACATTTATTTGAAAATTCAACTCCTGTACCTCAGTCTTTAGGATTATCGACATTTGAACGGATTGGCTTCAGTATGTGAGCACTGCAGCTATAGCAAATTCATGTACTAGTGAAGTATCCAGCGATACCTTTGAAGATAAAATTCCTGATCAATTGGTAGCTTGTCATTCATACCTTTTATATGACTACTGTCATTACAATCAGGAAAATTAAAAAAAAAGGAAAAAATAGGATAGTAGTCTAATCACTACAGCACGGGTCAGAAAGTAAAGACTGTTATTTGTGTTTCTTACAAAAATACGAATCTGGCAATTTTCTGGCAACTGCCATTTTCTCAGAAGTCATCTCCCATTGTTAAGTTTCTTACATATGCTTACTTTTCACCTCTTTTTGAAAGTTTATGTTGTAGCTCTCTCTCGACATACCAACGTATCAGCTGGTGATCTCAATTTGATTGAGAATATGGGGAAAATACAGAGATGATTTCACCTGTTACTCCCATGTTCCCAATTCTTGTGGGACAGCATTCTTAATCCCCATCAAAGTCCATTTGTGTTAGCAAAGGTGGAAGTCCCTCATGCAAGCTGGTAAATACAATTTAAGTCCAGTAATGACTACTGCTATACTGGCAGGTTGATCTGAGAAAGTGGTCAAAAATGCCAGTGGTCCACAAAGACAATCACAGGTTTTGCCATCAGTAAAGCTGCACGGATCATACTCTGGCACTGAGACATTTTAATCCAAACACTGCTGGAAGTAGCACGTAGAGTCTTTAAAAACTGCATTACTAACTTAGCTCTCTGACATGTTGTCACTTCCAATCACTCGAGTAAACTAACGCAGATATTTTGCAGATGTGCAAAACATGGAAATCATAAGGTTTTATCTGCACTGGGAGTACAAGATGCAAGCAATGAGTTATTTGGGTAAGCGCACCTGTGCTGAACTGCTGCCACCCAGCACAGAAGCAAAGCACTTTGCTAACTCTACTTTCTCCTGTGTGCAAACAAAGGTACTTTTTCAGATCTTTTTTCTCTCTCCCACATGTGATTCTGCCTCCCTGTATCACTCTTAACCTGCAGTGCTCTCATATAGAATCATCCCCATCGCTGAAGGACTGCTCTTTGCAAAACCTATCACAGTATTTTCGTCGTTTTAGATTTCTGTCTTGAGTTAGCCTCAAGGTTTTGCTCAGTAATTTACTACCAACTTTACCTCCTACAATATTTTTCCCAAGTACCAATCAAATCAATAGGTTTAAAAAAGCCAATGTAATTACTCTTTTAATGTAAATAAATGTGGAATTCCTTCTCAGGGGTTCTTGTGGAAGCCAGTAATAAATATGGTTTCAAAATAAACAAAATGCAAAACAGGTTCAGCTCTGTATCTGTACTAGACATAATGATG